TTATCGTTCCATCATCGCGCGCGTAGCCATACGGTGCTGACGCCCGCGTCTTCCTCTGTCCTTCTCCAACCGGCATCTTTTCCCAGCTTATTCGACGCCAATACGCGGGATGAACGAAGGGCACAGCGATTCCAATACGACGCCCATTACCACCACCACAATTTAACACCTTATTCCATCCATTGAGATGGCGTCAAACTCCTCGCCCGCCGTGCGCAAAACAGGCGCGCCTGAAAAAAAATACAAATGTCAGCAGCACCCTGCACGAGGAGCTGTATGTGAGAACATCTACTGAACTTCGTCCAGGCCAATTTTGCAACCGCGCTTTCAGCCGTAGCGAACATAGATCGCGCCACGAACGCTCACGTACGTCAAAACTCCCGTCTTTTCTGTCGCGATGGAGCTTCGCTGGGCGGGGTAGCTGTTTACGCGTTCGCCCCGCGCGTACTGTCGTTGCTACCTGCCCCTCAATTCGCCTTGTGGAAACTGTCGCTAATCATTCCTCACAGACACAAAAGAGCGACCGTTCAAATGTGCCAAGTATGTTCCCCTACACAGATGCATTATCATTAATATGCTGACTTCAAATCTAGGTGTCGCTCGACATTCGTACGTCGCGATCTCCTCCTACGACACGATCGCACCGTTCACGCGAAGGATGGTGGCGCGCCCCTCCCCAGCGAGCAGAAGCGCCGAACGAACACCAAGGCAGCCGAACAGAAACAAGCGACGGCCGAGAGCGCGACGACACTCGAACGCATCGAAGCCGAGAACGATGCGATGCACGAGGATGAGGACCTCAACGCAGCGGCCATGTTGATGACCGACTTCCACCACAAGGCAATGGCGAGCCAAGAACCCGAGATGATTCCCGAGCACAACGAGCCCGTCATCTCGCCCACGGGCCCATCCATGATGGAGCCTGTCATCCCATACACTGCCCCTGGCCAGAACATGCTTCCGCAGATGCCGTGGCGAGACTCAATGGTGCCTCAATCCGAGCCCAAGTCGTCGCCCAACACCCACTCAGCCTTCAACAGCGCCAGCGCGCTCGGTTCGCACCCCCACCAGCTTCCACCCCTTATGGAGCGCACCATGTCTGGCAGCGACAGCCTCGCGCCTACCTTTTCAGCAATGAACGGCGGCAATGGATTGGGTACCCCTGGTGCTCTATCGCCCTACCCCTCCATGATGGGACCCGTATCACCAGTCGACTACCGCAAGTCGCCCGGCCCCAATCAGGCTCTGATGATGACCCGCGCCCCTCAGCTGGACTCCGAAGAGCAGTGTGCAAGGATTTACGAGAACATCAAGCAATACGACAGCGAAAACTCGCTCTTGGAGACGTTCCACTTGCCTAGTCTGAACACGCTGAACCGCCTGTTGAAGACGTACTTCGATCTGTTCCACCACCATCTGCCTTTCTTGCACCCCGCCACCTTCAACCCCACCGAGGTGTCTGCCCCGCTATTGCTTGCTGTGCTATCGATAGGTGCTCTGTACATCTTTGACCAAGACCAAGCCTATATGCTGCACATTGGATCAAAGGTCCTTGTCAACCAGTTCCTCCAGAATAAGGAAAACTTCAGTTCGCGCAAATGCCCACTATGGACGATGCAGAGTACCCTGCTCAACATGATTTTCTCTAGCTGGAGTGGTGATCCAAAGGGCCTTGAGTGGGCTTGCTCGATTAAGAGTCTTCTTGCCAACGTACGTACAAGTGTGTCTTCTCATGATCGCCACTAACACATCGTAGATGGTCGCTGGAAACCGGTACGAGCTCAAGCTCCGATCAGATGCTCGTGATGGCGCTCAGCCAAACCATGAAGAATGGGTTGTCGACGAGCAATGCCGACGGACTTACTATGCGGTCTATATCTTCTTCGGCCTACTGACGCTCACCTACAACCACACTCCTGCAATGGGTTTCAACGAGTTCGACACCCTGGAGTTGCCTTCTTCAGAGTCGCTCTGGACCATGGAGGTTTCGGACGACGAAGCATGGCGCGAGAGTCTGAGTGCTTCCAGGATCATCACGTTCCGCCAAGCGCATGACAACCTATTCCAAGGCGAGACTGCTCGTTACAGTGCTTTCGCCACACGCGTCATGATCAACGCACTGTTCCTCGAAGTATGGTACCACAAGCGTAGCCCTGAAGCTCTCCAAGACGTAGTCACCGAGTACAAGCTTCGCCTGGCCCTGGAAACATGGGAGAAATCGCTTGAGCTCTGCGAGCCTGAGACAGTCGTTGTCCAACTGAGCGCTCCACACAAGGGCCATCCTCTCATTTTCAACGCCATGGCGCTGTACAGGAATACCAGGGCCCGACTCGTTGTCGATCTCAAGTCCATCCAAGAAGCTCTCCGATATCACGACTCCTACGAAGTAGCTGCTGCTATGACGAATGCCCGCGACAAGGTCCAGCGTTCGCCAGAGATGATCAAGGTCATCCAAGAATGCTTCGATTGCATCGAAGTTGCTGCCGTGCAAGGCATACGCTGGGTCGCTCGAACTTCCGCTACCAACTGGAGCATCGAACATCCACTTACCGGCATGGATCTGATGGTCATCTTGACGCTATGGCTCTACCGGCTGGAGCACGACGAAGAACCAGCTACCGAGGAAGAACTAGCGATGTACAACAAGCTGCGCAATCTGTTTGATGACGACTCCGTGGATGTCTACGGTGCAAAGCTGAGCTCCACTGTCGCGCGACTATGGGGCAGCATGATCGACGAGGTCGTCGTTTGGGGGTATGTAAATGCTTATCTATCTTTCAGTAACCTGGCACTAACGATGTTTAGCATCACCAAACTTATGGGCGAAGCTTTTAAGCTACATTCGCAAGCACTTGTTGGCTACGAAGATGCCATGTCATCTCGATCTGGATCCGCTACGCCATCAATGGCTGCTGGTGGTGTCCAAGTGCTCGAGATGCAGATGGCCTACTAAGCGAGAGACACGCAGCTGGTCGCGATCTCCCACGATCTTGTTTCCATCTCGCGTTACTTTTACAGACTGTGGATTTCTTCCTATATTTCGTCCTCTCCTTGCACTTGGGAGCATGGCAAGGAGTTTGGCGCCCCCAGCATCGGTCTATTGCTTATTTCATTTTCATTTCATTTTTCTCAAGATCGGGGTAATACGGCGCACAGGGCGGGTCTGGTCCAGATTCCTACACTCTCGAGCTCATGCTCTACTCATTTGGCATTCTTCTAATACCTCTCCCTCGCTCATACCCATCGGCATTTCTGGACTGTTGAAGGCTGGCCCTAGGCGCGTTATTGCTTCACTTCGGTTCTGCTACTAGCGCTGCCTTTGTTGCATTCTTGCTAATATCTATTTCTTTTTGCCTGTACTTCGGTAATGCCTTTTCTTGGTGGCATTGGGCTATTTCCTTACATATACCATAGTATGTCATGATTCGACTTCGCGGTGACGGAGATGGGGGATATTACGGTAGTGGATATGAAGTTAAGGTGTAAATCGGTCTCCAATAGTACTGTATGAATACGTCTTCCTATGCCATCATGACTTGGACGCAAAACAATATCTGCCTTACTGTGACGTTTGTGTTTTGCAAAGTTGAGCACCTGGGCATTCGTGAAAAAGGCACTAGTCGCACAGACCACCCCGGGGCCCGCTAGCGATGAAGCTTCATTCTCTTCCAAAATTTCGCGAAACCGACCTCAGCACGACGCATTACCAGCCACCACATCTTCGCATTTCTAATTCCTACCCAAAACCTACAGTCGCTTACCCACACAATGTCGAAAGATATCGAAGAGAAGAGGCTGAAGAAGGAGAAGAAGGACAAGAAGGAAAAGAAGGAAAAGCGCGCAGAGACAGACGGCGTGTCCAAGAGCAAAAAGGACAAGAAGGAGAAGAAGGTCAAGGGCGATGTCGAGATGGTAGACGCGCTCGAGGCTGAGCTCGAGAAGGAGCCAGAAGTCTCAATGGTCAACGTCGTGGACGGTGATGAGCCGCGCGGCGCACTCGTTCCCTTTGCCTTTCCCCTCGCAGACAACGACAAGGAGGTCAAGAAGATCCTCAAGACCGTCAAGAAGTGTATGTTTTCCACTTCATATGTGTTAGCCTGTTGGCGCACGTGAAAGAACAAGACTGACGTTTATCTTGCTACAGCCGCCAAGTCCAAGACCCTCCGTCGCGGTGTCAAGGAAGTCGTAAAAGCGCTGCGCAAGTCCGCTGCTTCAGGTGCCGGATCCTCCCTCGACGACCCTAGCGCCATCGTTGTCATCGCCGCCGATATCTCGCCCATGGACGTCATTGCGCATATCCCCGTTCTCTGCGAAGACCACAACGTACCCTACATCTACATCAAGAGCCGCGCGCAGCTCGGCGAGGCCAGCGCAACAAAGCGACCCACCAGCGTGGTCATGATTGGCAAGGACAGGATGGGCAAGAAGGCCGGCGAGGGCGACGAGGAGTTCACCGAGGCATACGGAGAGCTTGTCAAGGTTGTTGGCAAGGCTGCTAAGACAGTGAAGAAGTGAGAGCAATGCGAGAAGTGGAGATGAAGGTGATCGACCGTGTGTCGAGTGTATTGTTCAAAAGGGAAATGAGGAGTCTGGCGTTTTTCACCCATGGTTGGCTGATCAGTCCTCCTAGTGTTATTGTTTCAATTCTAGGCATCGAGCTAGGCTTGCAATATACCTCTACAAAACTTCACGCGCTCATGCCAACGGACAGTTTGCTCACGCGTCGCCTGCTGAACCAGCTACATTCACGGGTCTCACTCATGAGGCCTACACAAGACACTGAACGGAGCCCTCTGAAGATCGCCTGCAATTCGAGGTGCGATCCGATAAAAGAATGTCGGGTTTATGTACATATCAAGACAACCAAGTATAAACACGAAGAGAACTCGTTCACCACCCGCCCGCAGTTGACATTGTCAGTCGCAAGTTCAGAACCAAGGCCCTAGAGCCCATAGTCGTCCAATCCTCTGCATTCGAGCACAGAGCTCTGACAACAGCGCCTAGTTAGCAGCAGTCCACAGCGCCGGACCAGGGAACGTGTAAGTCGTAGGATTGGTGTAGATGTTGAACACGATACCCGGCATGTCCTTTGTGTACAAGCTGGTACCAGGAACGCCAGCCGTCGGTGCAACAGAGCCGCTACCACCGACCTTGAGGTTCAAGCCTACAGCAATACTTAGCATATGATCTTTTTACATCGAAAGCAGCCTGGAAGATGAGTGACCTACACTGGGGGTACAACTGCGCGCCATTCACGTTCTGCCCACCGTGAAGAGCAATGATCTCATGACGGATAACGTAGTTGCCAGGAGCAAGTTTGGCGGGAAGAACAGTGGAGACCTTGAACTTGTTCTTGATGAGCGTGTCTGTAACCCAAGTTCCAGGGCTGACGATGGCAGATTGAGAGATCTTGGACCAGCGGAGAGCACTGGGGGTTAGAGTGGTGCAATCGCCTGCATGAAATAAGTGATTAGTAAGAGTGCGCGCTGGACTGGTTTAAACAGATGGCATACCGTTGCAAGGCGCGATGTAGTTGATGATCGGGCCCTTATGACTATCAGGCCAAGTGTTCCACTCAAACTCAATGGTATCCCCGGCGTTGACGTTAGCGTAGAGACGTCCTGCAGTGGCACTCTTGTGGCAGTTCACATCTGCTGTGCCGACGGATGCGGGCTCGACGAAACCGATGTCTTGGTTCAATGCGTCCCAGCCTGCGGTTTGGGGGCGGCTGTCTTTGGAGAAGTAGTACCACACGGGGTCGGAACCGTTGGTGAAAGTGCCCTTTACGTTGACACCTTTGACGAAGCCGTGGGCGGATGCTGTGTCGAGAAGGACAGCGATGGCGCCGAGGAGGAGTGCGGATGTGTACATCGTGGAGTGTGTGAGAGAATGGTAGCGAATGTTGTTGCTTTGATGCTGATCCGTTGCACTTGTTTCTACCTACTCTTATATGTCTTCAAAGGTCTTCATCGTCTGTATGGCTTCTCATGATATTCCCAATCAGAGACGGAGCACATCGACCGATCGTGTCAGGTAAGTCAAGGATCACATAGTACTGTTAGATGATTACAAGTCATTGCCTAGGGCTTTGTAGCAGCAACGGGCATAGCCGCTATGGCGAAACATAGCTTGTTGTTCCATGGCCACACACATGCAGCGCGCCGTGTAGCTTCCAAGGCTCTTGATAGCTCAGTGTTCCAATCACAAGCGAAAAAGTTGATATTGTGGTGATATTGAAACGGCATCCGAATGTGGTTGTGGCACACAGCGGCGCGCTTCGCGCGTCCCTGGTTTTCGTCTGGGGTAATCTATTCTCCCCGGGAAGCCGCAAGCGAGCAATCTAAACACTGAAAGAGCAACGAATAGTGATCATATGGCGTACAAATTGAAGTCACACTCGTCACACGGGAGTGTTGTAAGGTTGCGGACGTTGAAGGGAATTTTTCCGTTGGCTCGCTACTGCTACAGCGGAAGGTGCACGTGGCGGGTGGAGTACCTCGTCCATGACAAACTCTAGCCACTTCATCCGTGACAAACTCTCAGTTTTTGCTCGCTACAGGAAGGTCTTACAGAGGTTGTGTGTAGGGATCGATATCCTAGACGCCGACAAAGATGCTGGGTTGTCCAGCCTGACCTGGTCTGCGTCTATCGTAGACTCAAACTTGGGTGCTCGATCAAGCATGTGGCCTTCAGGACTTCTCTGACATGATTTTCCTGTCTCTACCCAAATTGGGTCAGCGTATGTGTGGCGGACGGTATGGTAGCACCTGCGCGATGTCAACACAACCCCTGTGACAGCAGTAGCTTTCAGACATACCATCTCGCCCTTTGGCTTTTGACCCTGTAGCGCTGTCTGCTCTTCGCCAGCCCTCTGGGCCTCGCTCTCCTCTTTGTCGTCCAATTCATGCTCGATCTCAGCCTTCGTTTCCCTGTCGTTCACTTCCTCTTCGCCGCCCATGTCCTCGTCGCTCATCTCGTACTCTGACCACGCCTTTTCCTCTACCTCCGCGATCTCAAGGTCCTCCTCCACTCCGTCATAGCATGCTCCTATAGCACGAAGCACATCTACCTCGACGTTGGGAAGTGGCACAGTCTCGGGTCGTTGCTCGTCGTTGAGCAAAGCCTCCCTGAAGGTATGCAATTTAGTTTCTGCCTCCGAACAGTATAGAGGAAACTGACCTTATCTCTTCCAAACACTCGCGAAGGTCATCCAGCGTCTGTTTCACCACCGGATTTGGATCGTTACCATACCTTTGCTTCGTAATTCGCCAAAGGGCTTCACCCTTGACGTAAAAGACGTATGCTTCATCGAAGTCATCCAGACTACCTGCAAGCAGTGTGTAACATGTGATGCGGTGATACCTAGGGGTATCGGAGTCGGCGAGTAAATTGCGCAAAACCTCGTTACCTTTCTCAAATTCGTCTTGTACGAGTAGCTCAAGAGCAGCGTTGAAATCTCTCGTAACCCAGCAATCTACTTCATCCATAGTGGCCATCTGGAACTTGCATGAGGTTGACGTGAGGGTGGATGGGTGGATGGGTGTGGGTGGGAAAATCGTATTTGTGGTTTGTGACGTGGGTAGCATAGCCACGGATGGAAGATCTAGCGGCACATGGCAGACAAACGCTCAAGGACCACGGGCCTCTAGGCCCTACGTCATTGTATGGCAATCGGACGTGAGAGAAGGTTAAGAAGCATCCAATTCATAGAACGATAGAACACTTCAATATATATACCTAAATCTCATGAAGAATATAATCCAATATGATACACGCGTTTCCAAACTCCATGTAACAGGCCCTGAGGGCGTATGCATACAGATCCATCGCATCAAGGCCAACACTTCAGTCTCCTTGCAACCTCGACATATACTACCTCCGCATCTTCCGCCTATGATGCTCAACCAAATCATTCTCCAGCACCATGACAGCGTCGAAATGATTCTCGCCGACAGCCTTCGCGATGAATTTATTCTCTCCCTTCCCATCCACATATAAGCTCGCCTCCACGGACTCTCCGGCTCTCCTGCTGATGATCAAGAACTCCTTCTCATCCCTGACCCCGAAATCGGGTTCGTATATGGCACGACCTAACAACTCATTAGTATCGTAAAACACCGCCAAACTTGGACAAACGCCAAACTTACCAACAGCCATCTGGCCCGTCCTCGCTAGCCAGGCCATAGCGAGCGCCTCTCGCTTATCCGGCACCCTTTCACCTTTCTGCTCCGCTAGATTTCGTATATCCCGCGCCGTCTCCTCATCTTCCTTGTCTCTCTCCCACTCCAGCTCGCATTTGATTCTTGGTCTGATGTTCAGGCCGCGGTCCATGTCGGAAGAATTCCATGTGAAGTGCTCGTGTTTCCAGTCGTGTGCTGCTGTTCTGAATGAGCGGTGTTCGCGGGTGCGAGCGATCTCTGCGGGGTTGTCGACAGCGCGGATGTGCGTGAGATAGTGACTAGATGAAGAAGGTGGTAGGACTTTGATGGTGATGTGGTATATTGGTGCGATCAAGGCTGCGCCGTGTAGTTGTGCAGGGCTGGTTGGCATGATTGCGCTTCGGGTGTTGGGGACTTTGCGGCGATTGGAGATGTCGGGATCTGCTAGTAGTCAAAAGTAATTGGATTGGTGAGTATTAAAGTCAGAAACTCATAGTAGCCACATAAATAGTCCGCCCAGTCAGTGAATTTCATTTGTACTAGCCGGCTGGTGAAGTGTCGCAAACGCTATGCGAACGCGGCTTCAACAACGCACCAGCTCGCACGATATGCCATGTCTGTTTGACAGCTAAACAAAGCTTCAAGCATCGTGTAGTTTCACATTCCATATCCCACCTCTTGAAGTTGCGAATCGTGGTGCGTGCTGGACAATGATGATTGCGGCGTATAAAGGGTAGAATCACTTTACACGACGCGTCATGTGTATTTAATAAAGCAAGTTCTTAGTCAAGTACTAGACTGTCTGCAAGGTTGCCTATTGCGGAAAGATACGTCCGGCAGTATCTTCTAAAGAAGATAGTCACTGCTCACGGAGTAAAGAGAGTCGTAATGACATGTCGCGTAAAATTGTTCGAAAACGTTCGCCAGTGACGATTCTCAGAACCTACGGGTTATGCCAGTCCCACGCTGAGCCATCATCTGAACGAGTACTCACGCCATTGGGAAAAGCTACATGGCCCAACTCCTAGTATCTGCCGCCGGGTGGGGGTTGGCCATACTGCTGCTGACCTGGGTAACCGCCGGGGCCTCCTTGGGGCGGTCGCTGCTGGCCATACTGACCTGGTGGAGGTGCTTGTTGACCGTAGCCTTGTGGAGGTGCGCCGGGTGGAGCACCGTATCCTTGGGGCGGATGCTGACCAGGGGGAGCACCGTAACCCTGGGGTGGCTGCTGTCCATAGCCTTGCGGCGGCTGTTGGCCATAGCCCTGGGGTGGCTGTTGGCCGTAACCTGGAGGAGGTGCGCCATACTGGCCAGGTGGTGCGCCGTAGCCGCCAGGTGCAGGGTTGCTCTTCTCGTCCTTCGAGTCGTAGCTTCGATCAATGGCACCGAGAAGAAGCTTGATGATCCAAAGATCGGGTGTAAGATCGACAGGAGGGTTTGCGCGCATCATCTCTTCCTGTTCGTTTTCGAAGTCTGATTCTGCGTTAGCACAGGTCTAGTCTGGATCGTATGAGACTTACTGGACGTGCAGTCAACCATAGGGCCAACCTCGGGTTCCTCATCGAGTTGACTGAGGAATTTCCTTGCGGTCACATCGTTTCCTACCTGAGCAAACTCGAAAGCGACAGCACCACGGCCGTAGGGCGTCGACTGGAGCTGTCTGTAAGTCTCCTTGATGACCTTAAAGATCTCGCCGGAAGGCTCTCCCGCTGGCTGCCCATCGGTGATGGCAATGACCAATACTGGCTTTTGCATCTGTCCTGAGCGTGCCTTTGGGAGTACTATCTCCTGGATGACTTTCTTGTCCATAGAGGTACCCATGGGTGTGAGGCCCTTGAAGTTGACGCCACGCATGATCTCTGCGACCTGAGCCTCAGTCGCGACGCCATCTTGAAGAGGTCGACCCTGTTGGTTGCGAGCTCCCGAAAGATCGGTGTTCATGCAGCGGACAGAGATGCCATCGTTGTCAAAGAGAGTTGCAGCGAACGAGACTCGGTCCAAAATAAGGCGCAAATCTGTGATACGGCTACCTTCCTCTTCGAACTGCATGGATCCACTGTCATCTAATGTGTGTCAGCTTGATCACGATTCTCGAGCTGAGCAACTTACCGATGTATAGCACGATGTCGTAAAGCGCTAGCTTTACAATGTCATTGGCAATCTCCTTCTGGATCTTCCAGCGCGAGATGACTTGATTGATCTTCGCGGGCGCTTGTTGAGCAATCTGGTCAATATGTTGGCAGATTGGGAAGTTCTGGAGGCCCTTCTCTTGGATGCAGGCTTGCAGAAGCTGCTTGTAGCCCGCGATCTCAGCTGGTCCGGCCTGAACCTGTTGGGGAGGGGGCGGGCCGCCGCCATATCCTCCTTGTGGTGGAGGTGCGCCATACTGGCCCTGCGGAGGCTGTCCTGGTGGTCCACCCTAATATCACGTTAGTCTCTGCACAAATCTTCGCGGAAAGTCACTAGCTCTGCGCCTTTGCTCATACGTGGGTTTGAAAATCGAAGAAATCTAAATTAGTACGAACATTCGGTTGGAAAGCGGGCTGCTGGCCGTAAGGTTGGCCATATTGCTGCGGCGCCTGTCCGTAAGCGGGTTGCTGTGGTTGGCCCCATTGGCTTTGCTGCTGGTAAGGCTGTTGTGGTGGTTGCTGTCCATACGGCGGCGGGACCTGTGGCTGATTCCATTGCGCGGGGGGCGCTTGACCTGGTTGTGGGGACTGTGGGAATGTCGATTGAGAATACGGAGATGAAGGCTGTTGTCCTGGCGGTGGTGGCGGGGGTCTGCTATACCCTGACTGCCCTTGTGGATATGGTGAAGATGCGCCATATTGGGTGGGAGCTGCCGGTTGCGCAAAAGGCGACTGCGGCGGCGCATACGAACCAGGACGCGGAGGCATAGGAGGACCAGGCTGTTGTTGTTGCGCATAAGGATTTGGCGCCTGCCCGGCGTTGGGCTGATAGGCAGTATAGCTAGATGACATCTTGCTTGATAGAGGCATGTGTGGCTAGGTCCAGGAACGAAGTGTGGCGGAAAAAGTCCAGAGTGGATGCCGGGCGTGCGATAATTTATTGGAGCCAAAAGCAAGTGGAGAACTAGAGAAGAGGCTTGCGAATGCCCAGTCTTAAGTGGCGGGTAGGGAAGGGCGATGACGACGCAGAGCAAGTGACAAGAGAAAGAAAGAGCTTTGGGCTTACCCCGGGAGCACCGGCACCTTGGGCACCTGGATACGCTTGATACTGTGGCTGTCCAGGCTACGTTGCATTAGTGAATCATTGCCAACATCACCCTTCACTTGAAGACTTACGTAGCCGCCTTGTCCACCGGGCGGAGGATAGCCAGATGCAGCCTGAGCCGCCTGCATCTTAGATGCGAGCTTCGCCTGGTTAGCTATGACGATGGTGGGGTGGAGGGGTAGCTAAGGAGCTGGCTGATAACATACACCCATCTTGCTATTTGCGTGTAAGGGTTCTGGTGCGTGACAGAGGATTGAGAAAGTCGGACAAGGCTGATTCTTGAGATAGGAATTAACAAGGTTGAGATGGAAGGTCAGGTTATAATGTATGCCTTGCGATGTTGGCAAGAGCCGAAGCTGACGCGCTTACCTGCTAAGCCCCCGCCGGTGCACCGCCCTAGTCACGTATTGGTTAACGCCACATGGCCATTGTTCATTGCACACCAACACCGTGGCTGTTCGTTATGAAATGTGGGAACGCGTGAGGCTGTGCCTTCGGATAAAGTGACGAACGAGCGGGGCATCATCAGGCAACCGGATTTTGTACCAAACATTCTTGAGGCATGTGACGCTGCCGGCCAAAGACCCTGCTGCGCCTCTGCTCCATCTGACTGACCGTTACAAGTACATCTACATTCGTATAGCGCCCGCAGCTTACAAGGCGATTGATGCGCGTGGTGCTCTGAGTTGTGTAGCGTTGTTGCATCTTGACGCGCTCATGTTTAGGTCGTTAAAGCACGACAAACGTCCAACTTCTCGACTTACGCCGGTGCATCTTGATACTTCCGCTGCTTCAAGCTGATTTTTCACGGTGTCACTGGCTCAAATTTCTAATTCTGCTTTCTGCTCGACATCTATGGTCTAAGAGTTCAGAGTACGTACATAACCGCGATACTGCCCATTACCTGCCTTCTTTGGTAGTAATTTTAGATCGCTCCAAACTGGTTTCGAAATAGTTTTCTCTGATACCCACACTGATCTCATAGCCGTCAAGCGTCTCAGGCTCGGTGGATCTCTCACCACGCTCTGCTGCGAGCGCAGCTCCCAGGATCGTACCAAGTTGAGCCTCATCTAGCACGTTCACTCGACGGAAGTCCATCAGACTTGGGAGATTGCAATACTTGAAGCGAATATTCTTGCTTGGAGCTGGGTAATGGAGGCTTCCGTAATCCAAGATAAAAGCAATGCCCTGGACTTCGTATCTTGTCTCAGGTGGGGTGCGGTGGTAGTCTTTGTATACCTCTAACACCAGGGCGTTGTGTAAATGCGTTGCGCCGGCGAAGACTGCAAGTCTTGTGCCCTCGGCCGAGATTTTCTCACCCGAAAGATACGTTATGGGATGAGTGGCCTCACGAGTATCGCCTTTCTCAGCGACTTGCTGCATCGAGGCCCAGCATCCTTGTGTATTCTTGCTGATCGCGCAAGACATTATGTCTGCTATACTGCCATGACCTGTTCGATGGGGTCTGTTGCGTTCAGTCGCTCGATGCTGCGACTGTTCGGTAAGAGCATTGATGAAGGCTCTTTGAGATAAAGCCACAGCGGCTTCACTGGAAGTTACTAGCCGGCTACCCAACCAGCGATACTTAAGGAAGTCTTTGAACGCACGCATACGTTCCGGTTCTGCGTTGAAAGACTTTACTATCCTTTGGACTTCTGGTGGTAAGGAAAGCTGAACCCCTTTCTTAGTATGATACCAGTACTCGTACCGATACGGAAGATAGAGCACGTCTGCAGCGTTGAGAAATTGCAGTGATGCAGTTATCTCAAGTCCTCGAGCCAGTACAAAGCTGCTATCCCTAGTACCTGGTGCCACCTCAAGCGCGTATCTTGCAATCTCTTCACGATCTAGTGCCAACACACGACGGAACAGGTTGAGAAAGTCCCGCTCTTTCCACAGATCCGGCTCTCCACCTGCACATTGGTTTTGCAGAAGCTTTACGAATAGCTGCTTACTTGACGTGTTGTAATCAGGAACAAGACGATGCGCGGTCTCGTGATTCTGAGATGTAAGACCCAGCAGTGCGTATACTTTATCGTGAATAACGCTGCATCGAGACTCGGAGAATTCCTCGATTAACCACCGGAGTTCGAACTCCAGTGGCCAATCATAACCAGTGCGAAGCGATCGGGATCTCTTAGGGTCTCTATAGGTTCGATATTCTCCCCGAGATATCAGAAGTTTGAGGCCTGGAATATCCGGTTTGTCGTAAACGTACATATAGATCGCGCGGCCCAGCTCATCTGCATTTGCCCGGTAC